TTTTGGCGGTAACCATAGTGGTGGTCGAGTAGATCATGTCGTGCGGGATGGAGACCCCTCACTCCGCGCAAGGGGGATGATCGCACCCCGTTGTGTTAAAATGGTCAAGCACCCTCGAGGCAGTTGCAAGGTGCTTACAACTGTCTCTGGAAGTGAAGCACCAGAAAATACATTAAGTCATACGCAGCTGTCATCCGTACGCAAGGAAGTAAGCACAAGATGCCCAACACGCTTAGCAGGATGCAGCGCACCCTTCATGCGACTCGCCGAATACCTCACGGCGCTTCGCGCTTGGTGATGTGAGTGCCTGGTCCAGTGAGAACCCGGCGTGCTCCGTCCCGGCTTTGTAGGGATGAGAGGTCAATGGTCTAACGACTACGGCATGCACGGCGATGAGGTCGGGTACGTGTGCGGGAAGACTTGTTTTGTCCCCGTTGGTATACAGTTCGAACAGGGGTGAAGGGCGACGTGAGCACTTTCTCAGCGGAAAAATGCCTGTTCAATCGGTTTCCTGTGGACTTCATACAGTCAATAGCCTGGGTACCTGATTGAGTCCAAGCGCATTTGTGTAGAGTTGGCTGGGTTCTTCGTCGTTTTTATATTTGTAAAGTGCCCTTCTTGGGTGGATTTCCCGTGACCACGGAACGTGTGCCCATCAGTTCACCTGTACGAAGTACACCGATAGTGAGGGAAAATCGGAAAGCAAAGCGTTATCCTCGTTTTTGTGAACACGACGACATCGACAGCAACTACTGTCGCTGTATCGTATCGTTTTTGGAACAACAGCAGTGGCACCACACGGCAATAGTGCCTCTGGAATCCGACCCCACGTAGTGAACACGCTGCTTAGTGCAGAAGGTGGTGGGTGTAGGTTGATGATTCGCACGTGGATGTCAGAGCGCTTCCTCTTTTGGATACAAAGAAGGCGACGACAGAGTCTCTGAGAGACGCGGATGGAACTCAACAAGTCAGTTCTTGCAGGACGAGCTATTTCCTACTGCTGTGTGAACGCTGACCAAGGCCCGAATCGCTGATATATTCAGGATGCTTGCTTGGCTGTCAAACTCAGCCCAACACCCGAGGACGGTGTAAAACACAACTCTCGCTGGCTAATCGTACGCATCGCTACCATTCGTGCCACTACAAAAGGTGCTCGAATCCCTCCCCATGCTCCTCCAACACTCCGTGTGTGAGCACCCGATTGTTTGTCGACACACCCCACGGATGCGAGTTGGCATATATGCTGCTATTCGTGGGAAGTAAATAGGCCATTCGTATCGACACACACCACCCTCCCCCTCGGGGTGCTTGTAATCATCGAGTTGGCCAAATAGACCTCACCAGTCCAGACGAGACCATACCAGACGTATCGCTCGTGACAACACGGAGAACGGGGAAAAACTACCCCCCCAAACCAGCATAGAGTCCCGGAGTAGACTACATAGACTGCACAGATGCTCCATGTGATCCCTCGCCTTGCTTTCCGCACTCCGCCATAGGCGTATGATTCGGTGGATCGAGAGATGCTATGGAAGGTGCTGGCCAGGGCCGGGATTCCCGCGAAGCTGATCGAAGTCATCCGCCAATTCCACGATGGAATGCGG